TTTTTACGTTAAACTGCCATATGTATAGTCTAATAGCTGGTGTTAAGAACAGCACAGAGTTCATTGCTTTTCTAACAAAACCAAGTGATCTTGCTCCAAGTTAACACTTGACTATACGTTAACTTGCATCGGCTTTTTCTTCTAATCACTATCTGAGTCGCTGCTACTGTCACTGACCTCAGTTGTTCGAATGTCCTGCATTCCTGCTACTTTGATGCTAGTCCTTGGCAGGGCGGCACCCTATGTAGCGTGGGACTGATTCTTAGCACATGCAGCCAGTCTATTGCACCCACTTAGGCCATTCGCACGTTTGCCTTCTTCATCGACACAGCCAGGCTGCGGGTGGTAGCACGGAAACGGGAACACATGCTGACCATCCAGAGTCGACCAAATTCTGGTCCAGGGTGGGATTGTTGCGCTGGGCAATGCTTGCGCAGTCTTATCTATGATTCGTTGCAGAAGGGCAGCCCTCTTTACGTGCAGGAAGGATGCGTCTTCTGGTGCGCGCGGGCAAGCAGCTTTAGGAGAGTAGATCTGTCTGTTCAAAAGCTTGTTGCCCTGAGCTGCAGATCAAACTCCTGGAAGTCATTAGCCACTGATGTCGTAAAAAGCATGGTGTGGTCCTTGCTGCTTTGAGGAGGTTTTGATTACGATGTCAGGAGGGTTCTCACAAACTCATTCATCATGGGGTTATGTCGAGACACAAGGCTGCACTTGAACCAGCCTTTCTTGCCGGCTGAGTAGGATAACTCGTAGCTGTCTCTGCCACTCAGGTATGATGAAGGGCAGTGCCACGCACCTGTGAAGTTCAGTGTTCCCACTATTCATTGGATTAGTACGTATGTCATTCTGGGCCTGTCCTCCCCATAGTTCTGGTCAGATCTCTCAGTGTGTGTGCTGCCAGGTGTAGACACGATGGGTAATAATTCTGTCGTCTTGGCGTGGATAATACTCTTTCATCGTCATGTCTGGACACTGCTACAGAAGTGTGCAGGATTATCCTTGTATCAGCCTCCTTCCTGCGTTCGATTCTAAGCAGAACAATCCGTAACAGACTCTCTTGTGATAATACGCTCTTCGTCTCTTCATTGTGAATCACCACCCAGGTAGAGATGAGTTAGGACAACAGTAGGTCAGATTTCTTAGTCTCACACCATTGCTCACAGAGGAAGTTTAGCGAGCGTTAGCCTTGTTTGCCTGCACTTCAATAATTCTTGTGGGTCAGAAGCCTGTGTAATGGTCATTGACTTCAATATTCTTTGGCAGGTTTTGATCGGCCATACCTGGTGTTCTGCTCAGCGAGACCTTCAGGCTTGGTGCACTGTACCTGTCACACGAAGTGCTGAACTCAGTACAGCAGGCACATCATTCAGGTTATTTGTGATTGCATGCAGCAATAGTCCAAAATCTTTCACCCTTTCGTGAAGGGACAGTGTCGAATGGCATACATAGGAGATCAATAATGCTACTGCTGTCTTTGCTGTCATGTTAGGAGGCAGGCAGTGAGTGGCTTGGTCACGTTGGTCTCCTCTGTCAGGTTTTGCATAGGCTTGACTTGGTACCTGTTCTTTATTTGCCATGCATCCTGGAAGAGAGATCGGTGCGTAGTCACTGCATCATGGTCCTATAAAGCTCAACAATGTCTAGCTTCTCCACCACTGCATGATCTGTGTCATACGCAGAGGGCAGTTATTTTCATTACTCTTCCCCGTGCAGCTGTTTTAGCCGGCAGACTCTTCGGTTTTTGTTTTGTGTGGGAGGTGTTACCTTCACAGTACTGTGGCTTCTTCTGATCACTGGTCAGTGCTGAGACAGTGCCTCCAGACCCAGTTTGTTCACACGGGTAGATTAAGGTGGTTTCTTAAACGTTGCAAGTCAGCGCATTGTGTCCAGTTGCTATATTTATTGGAGGGCATGTTGTGAGCTTGCACCAAATGGATTTCGTCTCCGACTGGCTGCATTACCTTGATCCCCATCTCTGCATCCCCATGCTGACTCGACTGTAACAGAGTCATGGTGAGGGCTGGGAAGGAAGATGTAGCATCAATTTCAACTCTGCAGAGACAGCAGCAGTGATGCGGTTTTGTGTTAAACCATTTATCGTTGGCAGCGGTTTAGTGTAATGCCCTCGAACACTCGCTCCTTTGGCCATCTGCATTGTAAGTCTGTTCAGAGCATTCACGGCAGAGACACGTATTATGCTTGCCATGCGGCTTACTCCTCCCGACGAAATGCACCTGCTATTAGTGCTCATGTTACATTAGGGCTGTTTCAGGATAGTTTCTTCATCTCAGCAGATAGGAGGCAAAGACCGCTGCCATATCTGTAGTTACCCGGCTTGCTGTGAGTAAGATAGCATTCGTGATGATTCAGAGAGATGTCCTAGTCCATACCCAGTCAGCTTCTCGCTGGTTAGTAAATAAACCTGTGAGACATGTCTGACATCTCCAGCGAAGATGGACCGAATTGATGTGGTTGCTCAACAGTGATTTGGAAAAGCATTCTTTGTTCCGCAGGGCTGATAACTGTTCATGGACTTCTGAATCATTGTAACTTCATGAGTGCAGTGGATGTCTTTTCAACACATCTTCAAAAGACGTGCAACCCTTTCTCACGCAAGCTTTGCAAGCCGACGCAAGTTAAGTAAGCGGGGAGACTGTTTGAAATATGGCAGAAGATGTATTTTTTGCGCAATTCATATTTTGGGAAAATGTAAAAAGTCATCATTATTTTCGCCCAAAATTTTTATCGCAATTTCATCACAAGCCCATTAAATGTGGTATCATCTTGGTAGAGAATTTATTCCCTTTAATATGATACACACACACTGTTGAAACGAAGGTTCGTAAAGGCCGACGCAAGTTATACGATATAGCGCGGGAGAAGGCCTGTGTGTAATGCTACAAAATGCTGCTTTTACTACTATCAAATTTTTTACGTTGTGAGCCTATAACGTTATTGTTAGAAAAGCTATGAACTTGTCCTCATCACACAATATAACCATATATATGGGCAGTTTCTGGAAAGTTTCAATGCATTACTGAAAAGGCGTTTTGAATATGAGAGGAGAGAGATGTATTGGGCAATTTATATTTTGGGGAAAAAATTGGTAAAAATCACATTTTGGCCCCAAAATTGTTACGATTACATCACACCAAGCCCAGTAATGTGGCTTATCATCTTACTAGGAATATTTAATTCCCTTTTATTGATACAAACACGTGGTCGTGAAAGGAGGTTCTATTCAGACATTATCTTCAAATTGGTTAGGATTAGTAGACAATGGTGGCATTTTGAAAAATAGCGCCATTTTTTTTCAGCGCATATTTTCAGGGTAGTCCACCTGAAGGTGTTCAGGGACGGTCTCGCTTGAAACTCGTTGATACCAAACAACCTTTTTAACAACACTCCATGTCTGCTGTTGACGCAAAAATGGGGTTTGCCCCTGGCGTATATCTCAAGATTTTAGAAATTTGATATCTGCTAATTGCAACTTTCGCACGCATTATATTTGCTATATACTGACTAATCGTGCGTCATGAAAGTCAATATCACAGAGAGTAGCGGTGTTAATTCAAGCCGGTACGCGGAATCATTTGCTCAATATATTCTAGATATATTCCCAGATAGAGCGATTTTTCAAGTATTACCACAGAGCCATGATAGGTACATAGATTATCACGCATGTTGCAGGTGTTACGTTTGCAAATAATAAATTCGTTAGGCGCGCAATGACAGATTGCAGTGACTTACTGACTGCTCGTGACACACGAACAGAGCACTTACTTATGTATGTTTAATTATATGTAATCATGAATATCAATTGTAAACTAATACAATATACAATTTTGATGAGTAACAGTTAAAAGTTAAACACTACTGTGGTTCGATATCTGTGCAATTACTGCCTGCCCTTTGGTCTGTGGAATAATACAGTTTAAACGCAATGCAATTTGTAATAATAGATCACACATCACATGACACATTGTAGTATGGGTCATGTACATAGACTTCGGAAGTGGATCGGCAAATAGAAGAGCCGACCATGACGGTGTTAAAGACAGCCATGCAATATCTGCTATTTGAGATAATCATTTTGAAGCATCTCATTATTTATGTGTCAGCTGACAAGGGTTAAAATCACTGTTGGCGCTTTGAATTGACAATGTGATATGCTGTACCTATTAAAAATATAACTATTGTAGTAATGCGAATTAGTAAATACATTGCTTTGTCTGCTGTCTCGTCAGTGGTGCTACATGCCCGGGCGTTATTACAGGTGTACCAGCGACTTGATTTCATGAAAGATACATAAACAGAAAAATTTACCGGTTGAGAAATATTCACATGCTGAGCCACTGAAGATATTTCATTATTGTTTATGGCTTATCAAAACTAAACAACACATGCTGAAGAATTTTGCTAATAAAAATTCCAAAACTGTCTGTATTTTACCTAACTTTTCCAATAATCCCGCGTCACCCGATCTTCCACCTTTATATAAAACAACAATTAAGGCAAGTCAAAAAAGTAAGAGCGCTAAGAAGGATGCAGCTTCCATCTCTGATGAAGTCAGTAACCCTCTGCATTCCGAACTAGGAAACAAGCAGAATCGTAGATTGCTGAAGCATCCAGACACGTGTGATTAAGTTGTTCTTAAATAATGTGCAGTAATGGTATTTGGAGATAAAAAATATTGCGGAATGATATCGTTGTTATTATTATGTTTGTAGAAAAACAAACATTCTTACAAATCCGGTCAAAGACTGAGAAATAATTTAAACTACAGTACTGCTAGCAGTTACAGTGTTCACTACGCATTGTGATGTTTATGTGTGTAATTGCGCATTACGTCTGTGTACTGGTCTGTGCATACGGGAATGGGGGTCAGGTGTCGAATGCCATCGTTTTTGCAATGCTAAACATACATGTACAGCGTTATAGAGAAAATTCTTATTGAAGAACTAAATTTGACCTTCTAAGATAAGGAAATGTTAATTAAACTCCAGACACAAATATTATAATTAACGATAGAGACGTTTTAATGTTACAACGTTACACATCTACGGTGTGTCACCACAGCCAGATTTTTAGTGTACCGCTACATTCGCTAGGCGGCGCCACCATTCAATTCCATAACACTATTTTGGCGTTGCGTCCAGTCTGTGTATCCGTTAGTCTGTGGTTAAACGCGCGTCGTCTGTTGACCGATTAGCAGCGAGGCTTGTCGCTGGAAATTACACCGACCCGACCGGAGGAAATCCACACCGACTTGCACAAATTTGCACAGTCGCTGGAACTTCGCCAAGGTATATATTCAGCGCGCGCATCGATGGCGTTTTGGCCACCAGCGGCGCTGTCGTCGCCTCCTGCCTGGCCGCTACTCCTGTCACAAAGCAGCACATTAATTTAGGAGCAGGACAGGGCACTGTTTGCCTATTTATACCCTGTTAGCGATATAGTAGGAGCATTAAAATATAATAGCAGAAACGAGCATCTGATTTCCACACAGCTGGGTCGCCATCGGTTGGTGGTAATGCGGGCTTGGGGAGTCAGAGCTAACCGCGTTCGGTAACTGTCTACCAGTACTGATAGCTCGCATAAATTTCCAAGTTTGCTACGCGTAAACAAGTATCTAAATGCAATATGCGCAAGGAATCTAATAACGAGAATACAGGTAGAAAACTATAATAATTCATGAGTACATCGTAGCACCACGCATGTGCAACACATATCCGTACGACACTGAACTAGTAAAATCGGAAGTGAGTAATATAACTTAGTCAAACGGTCACTAGCAGTTTCCCAAGATATGAGTGCCACGGAATAATGAATGTTTAAATGTTTCTTAGGATTGCGTAATCGAACAGGAGAATATCACACCCATAAATAGCAGCATAAGCAAACAGTTTTTTAGTGTTTATTTTGCAACGACCAGCTTCCAAGCAAAATGATAGTTTCACACCGTATGGCATTCCACGCCAACTTTGTCATAGCCCAGCCTGTAATATCTGTTCCATCATACACTAGTGCACGAATATGTGAGCATGACACTGTAATGACGTCAAAGGGTCAATGAAAGAGGCTACCTAGCACATAGAAATAGATAAATACCTATAGATATGTATTTATTTCTAAGACCTAGCATGCAGCTCGTGGCGGTCCTGGCGGCGGGTCCGTGCAGCAGCAAGCCCATCCGCTCACTGAGGTGACTCAGTCCATCCGCCAACGCGCTCCGTTCGTCTTTAGAACCAAGATTACGACTCTTAAGAAACGCACCGTAATGGCGCTCGTTTCCGAGACTAGCGTGCACCGAGAGCGGAATAAAGTGAATTTAACATAATGAAAACCCGATCGTGTTTCATCGGAATCTTTTTCTAACCTAAACATCAACCCGAGTCGGGCACAAAGCCAGGCTACTACAGACCCCAGCCCTCGACTCCGCAATGTAGGGGAAAGTTACAGCTACGCACGCTGCGGTCAACTTTACTGCAAATTAATCCAGGCTATAGAGGGAAGGCAGACAGCACTCCACTGTCAATTAACCCCGTGCTGAAGGGCAGCCACGATGAAATCTCTCGACCGATAATAATTAATCTATATGATCGAGGCAAATTGTCGCACCGCTGCGTCACAAGTGCGACACTAATGCGACAGTAATGCGTCACGAGTTTTAGTAAAGAAAAAAAACATATAGAGGGAGAGAGAGAGAGAGAGAAAGTGAGATATATCGTGTATTCTATTGACGTTGTATATAGGTCACTAACCGCGCCATGTCAATGTCACTCAATGATCCACTCTATCAGACACAACCCCCTGTAGATAATGGTTCTAATACGACATAAGCTTTTTGTTCGCGTGTGTCATCGAGGTGTCCCCCGTACGTCGTGCGTCGTAGTAATAGTCGTATTCCGTGTTGCATTCGCTTCCAATCGCCTGCTTGTCTACATTTGACAAGGATCCAACCCGTTCATATATAGAATCACGGTAGAATTTTACCGACATCTCGTCCACC